AGCTAGAGAGAGAGAGAGAGAGAGAGAGAGAGAGAGAGAGAGAGAGATTTTTAATACAACTAAAAATCGAGAAAATAAAAAAATAAAATTGGGCAACTAATGGATTATGAAAACAATGGTCACCTGCAGCCCTATTACACGGCCTCGTTTGGTCCCAAACCCTCCTCCGTAGAAGCCATGGCTTCCATGCACTGCACTGATGGGCAAAAAGCATGAAACAGCTGCGTGCATGTTGGAATAAATGGCCCCCGTAATATTGGGATATATTTGCACTATACATCTGAGGTTCTGGATGTACATCTGACCAATCAGGTGTAAAGAAATGATTTGCATGGCTCCGCCCATGAGCAATATTCTTCTTATTTTTAGGATAGGTGATGGATTGCGGCATGTGAACACATTCTGTTCTAAGAAACGTTCCTGTGCTACACATACATATATATATATTTTATGATAGAGAAATGGGAAGCAGACAGCGGGTGGGAATTGTTCTTTCCAGACTCATAAAGGGACATTCAGGAAATCCCATGGACGTCCACCCTCTAGAAGGCCGTTTCCTTTCAGAAGATTTTCAAAGGCGATCTGCGGGGAGGAAATGGCCTTTCACACCGGGGCCGCCATCTCCGCGCACCAATCGCCACAAAGCCCACGTTACTCACACGGCGCTGAGATGGTTCCCGATTATTCCCTGCACTCTATTATGTGACCCCGGCAGAGCGCCATCCCATGGCAGATTAATAAATATAGCGGGAGTGCTGGTTTTATACATCTCTCCGGTATATGTCAGAGTCATCTCCAGACTGTTTATTGGAGACGTTTCCAGCTCTATAAATGACATCGCCAGAAATAAAACGCACGATGAGTCACCTGACATTACAGAGCGATTAAGCTCCTCTCACGGGGGCGGTTCTGGAGGATCATTGATGATCCCAAATAATTTGGAACATGAAATAATAGTCATTGGCCAGCTTGGCCCGCCCCCGATAATGAGGGTTCGTCATCTCCTCACCACTATGGGGCGCTGTTCACTGAGTGGGATCTCTCCGCAAAGGTTTACAAATACTTCTATTTCATCTTCCCTCGTTCCCCCCGCCCTTCAACCAGTGGCCTGCCCCACCCCCTTTCGGTCCCTATGCTTCTTTATGCAATGCAGGTAGATCAAGGCTGGTTGGAGGGGCCGGCAGGGATCTGTACATAGCTTCCTGAAAACATCACATTACCCGGCCTCAGTATCTCTCTTTAAAAGGAGAACTATGGGGTCAGTGTTTTTCCCCATAGTTCTCCTTGGGGTAACGGGAGGACACAAATTAGCGTCCTCCCGTCACCCTAGGCTCAGTATATAGGGAGCTACAGCTCGCGGTATACCGAGACGCCGCAGCCGGAGCGGATCCCAACATGGATGTCAAGATCTGCCCAGCTGCGTGATTGACAGCTGGCTCTGCCTATCTAGAGGCAGAGCCAGCTGTACCCGCCCCATCCCCCGTCCGTTCCGCCAGTCAGCGCTGGCGGATCGGAGCGGGGAGGGGGGAATCCAGCCCCTCCCCCTGTCACGGCAGAGAGCCATGACAGGATCGAGAGGTGAGCGAACGCCGGTATGTATTCGCTCACCTCCCGATCTACTGAGCCGACCTGTGACAGTCTCATTGTCACAGGGCGGCTAGAACTATGAGGTGAGTGAAAAACACTCACCTCATAGTTCTCCTTTAAAGAGTCCTCAGCCCTGATGCAAGCAATGGGAGGAGTTATGCAAATATAAAAACACCTTGATGGGTGGGTGTCAGTCTGGAGGTGTGGGCATTCCTAGGAAGGATGCATGTGCATGCAGACCTCCCACATTTGATGATTTAGGAAAAGCTGAACTCCAATGAATGAAAGGGGGACCCTGTTAACTTACCAAACATATCCCAATTTCAGTGAGTGCACAGTCTCCATTTTAAACATTTGCTGTTCCATATTTTCATCACTGTATTTCTCATGCAGACGTGTTGTAGGTTTTCTAGTGCTGCGTGGTCATTGCATTTGTAGAGCTTCCTCCAATCACATTGATCCTCTGCTTTCTATGTAGGTCACCGGACCCCCAAATTTTTTTTTTCTTACCTCCATGTGTGTGGTAGGTGAGGGGTGCACAGCGCCACCCCAGCAGGGTCTTGCACGGTCACCTGGTTCCCATAGCACCCCATTGTTCATGGTTTTAAACATGACTATTCCTCGTGCAACATGTCAGGGGGAGGGAGGGGGGGGGGCATCAAGGACTCATCAAGGACATGCACCTTCAGCCAATCCACACACATCCAACACAAAACCCACCAATCACATGTTAGCAGAGGTTATAGCTTTGGTCTAATAGGCTGGGGCTTGGTGTGATGTCACCCCCCGAGAGGAGCGTTGTGTCCTCCAATGTCACACGGGCAATAAATATTAGTAGAGCGTGTTGTAGGTCACATGACCAGTTGTGGTGGAGGTGTTTCCTGCACAGGTAGAGCGTGTTGTAGGTCACGTGACTTTGGGGGTTTACAAGTACAGTTGTGGTTGAGGGGTTTCCTGCACAGGTAGAGCGTGTTGTAGTTCACATGACTTTGGGGTTTACATGTGCAGTTGTGGTGGAGGGGTTTCCTGCACAGGTAGAGCGTGTTGTAGGTCACATGACTTTGGGGTTTACATGTGCAGTTGTGGTAGAGGGGTTTCCTGTACAGGTAGAGCGTGTTGTAGGTCACATGACTTTGGGGGTTTACATGTGCAGTGGTGGTGGAGGGGTTTCCTGCACAGGTAGAGCGTGTTGTAGGTCACATGACTTTGGGGGTTTATATGTACAGTTGCGGTAGAGGGGTTTTTATGATAAATTCACATGGACACAAGATGAAACTATTCTGCGTGCGCAGACGTACATACGTGCGACTGTAGGGATCGGCCTCTGCATATGTGACCACTGGGAAAGGCATTAGATATGGCCGCTCATTCAGCATGTGACCCGAACACGTTTTATATGTTGGCTCACATGTGGGATATCAAAAATATAAACGTTATGTTTGGAGTAAGATCAGGAAGGCCTATGAAGGGAAGCACGCCATCCCTACTGTGAAGCATGGTGGTGCATCTCTATTGCTTTGGAGGTATGTAAGCTTCAGCAGCTCCGGTACAAGCTGAGGGCAAGACGAATGCAACATGTTATCAAATG